AAAAATAGAAATCCAATTTTAGCGGTTAAATTATGATAACTATTGGAAATATCATATCCGTTGCGGTCACCGGTATTATTTATAAACAAAATATGCGGTCTTATTGAATCACCCTGTATAATGAATATTTATATGATTAAGGGGACAAAATAAATACTAACCTCTTACAGCGGGTCGATCATCTGAACGCGTCCTAATAGTTGTTGTAGGTATAGATGGAGATAATCTGTTGAATTTGAAGGAAATAAATACGCTTGTTTTAGAAAAAATCTAATCTGAATCACTTACGGACAACAAATTATCTCCTCGTACGTGGTAAAACCGCATCGACTTACATCACGCATTCCTAAGCCCAACTGACTCATGATCTGTGGTAAGTCCACACATCTGCTTGACTCAGTGCAAATGCCTCGATGGCCTTNAACTATTCCAATAATACTAAACATATCTGAAAAACTTATTAAAAATAAGATAGAAACATTATAAAGTAAAGTCACCGAGGTAGGCCGGTCGAAGTCCTTAAAAAGGTCTAAATGGGTTCATTAAATAGGACGGATGGCTCCTTCACGGAAACATGATGTGGGAATCTCTGAGTTCCTTTGAGTTTTAAAGTAGAACCCCATATCTCTGAGCAAACATTTGTATGCCATTTTCAATGTAAACTGGAGGAGTTATTACAAAAAAATTCATATCTAAACAATAAGTTGCATAGAAGCTTTATTTTGTAGTGGTCCGATTTTGCCGGTTCCGCCAAATGATTAATATATTATAAAAAAGCACTTGCTTTCCAAATTTCGTTCAAACAGACAGACAGACAGATACACAAACGGACAGGCTCAGCTCGATCGACTGATCATATAGGTATCCTTTTTCATGGGTCTATCTCTTCATCTTCTGATACTTACAAACATCGGACCAGAGTTATAATACTATTTGATGAATTTGAAAGGTATAAAAATGAGAGCCGTGTTTCGATATTCTTCAATTCTGCGAGTGTCTTGAAAAAAATGTTACACCACCCTAATGTGCAAATGTACATATATGCCATAAAATCGTTAAAAGCAAATCAATATACAATCAACTCCATAAACTTACCCTCCGATTGAGCTTCTGTCATTCCAAGCAATGCAAATACACTTCCAATCAGCAACAGCATCGGCGTGCAATGTTCCCTTTTTCTCATTCGAATATATTTAGAGCACATTTTGATCTTTGTTTTTAACAATTAAAAGCAAACACAGTTCGCATGTAGAAAATTATTATGCATTTATGAATTTTTACATACATACATACATATGTAGTATGTACATATGCATGTGCGTATAACGTATTTAATAAGTTTATCGAGTGTGGTTCGAGTGTGTATGGTGAGTAACACGTGTCAGGTGTGGTAAAGTCATTGAACCGTAAAAAAGTCTGCAAGTAGATAAGTTTATAATTATTTATGTAAATGTATATATTAGTTATTAGTTAATTAAATAAACAATTTTTACACTTTTATAATATTTTCAGTTAACTACGACGAACTAACTGCCGCAGAATGGAACCCTTCGGCCATGGTCCACATATCCCTTACCGCAGTTGAATCATTCCATTCGGTTTGCTTGAAAGTGCATATTGTCGGTGACACTGCAATTAGTACTCTTGGCACTTGGATGGATGGTCTGTTACCCGCACCGGAATGCATCTAAAAATCGTTACACTCTCATAAACTAATGACAAAACTGTCTCGCTTTGACTAATGAAGATTACTGATTTACAGAAGCGATCAGATACAGGTGGCAGATCATTTAAGCAGCAGAGTTAATAATTGACATAGAACTTTCTGCAGTAACACCGACGATATCTTCGCGGTAAAATTCTATTAAATCTACTTGCAAGGAATCTAAGTAGTATTACCAGATCTACTGCTAGAAAGTTCAAAACTAGATCTTGAAGGGAGGCCGATCGTTTCATTTGTCGCTGTTGTCTTGTTTATCGCACCGTGAATGCATGGATTAGAAATGCAAAAAAATTAAAAAAAAAAACACTTGACATAATGTATGGAGTAACAGACTTATTGAACTGACCTCGTAGTTTCATACCTGCATTAAAATTAGGGCAAAATTTTGAATTTGAGCGAATACATCCTAGCCTTAGAAATATTTCGAATTTTTTAATCAGACTTTTTTAGAATTTTTTTTATGCAGTTTTGTAACTACGGTTTATCATTGATTTTCGACAATTTTCTTTTTGCTTACGGTATTTGTGCATTTAAAAAAAAAAA